CCCCTGAGCCTTGGCCCCGTGCCGTTTCCCAGGTGGTTCTTCAGGTCCATCAGCCGGAAGGATGCTGAAAGACGGCTGCTGGCTCCCATGAACAAGGCCGGCTCCTTCCTTGTCAGGGAGAGCGAGACCACCGAAGGTGAGCAGCCGAGGCCTCGTGCCCACCTCTTCCCCGGGCAGCGCCCGCCCTCCCAGGCTCTCGTGGAGCTGAGGAGCTGGCAGCTTCCATCCTGGCTGCCTCCCACGTGGGTCCCGGCCAGGCTCTGAGGCTGTCCGCGACAGTGGCTCTGGCCACCCAGGCTGGACTCCTCCCGGGCCATGGGTGGCAGAGGTGGTGGGGCCCCACCGAACAGCAGGAACACGGAGACTGCGGGGCGCCTCACAGAGGATTTGGAATCAGGGGATTTGGGAGAAAGGAACCTTACAGGTCGCCTCAGCCAGAGGCTGGTGGGGAACACAAGTTTGGGGGGCGGCCTGGGCCTGATTGGAGAAGGGGGTGACAAGGTGGAGAAGTGGGGAGACCACACCCTGATCCCAAGACTCAGGGACTCAGAGACTCGGCAAACTGCTGCATTTCTCTCCTTCTTTGGCACTTGGTTAAGTGACCCAACTTCTTCATGTCCTTTTCATTGTAAAATTGCCCAGGTGTGGTGGCACACACCTGTAATCCCAGCACTCAGGCGGCTGAGGCAGGATTGCTACGAGTTCAAGGCCAGCCTGAAGTACATAGGGAGACTCTGCCTCAAAAAAACCAAAAGATGAATTTTTGTTGTAAAATATACAACACATATAAAGCATGCATAAATTATGAATGCATAATCATATGAAGTACAGTGGAAAATATGACAAATGTCCACATTTTAAAAAATCGATTGCAGTAAAAAGCATATTGCCATTAATCCCCTTCTAAACTCTCCCCTCACTTCAGCTTATTTATCCCATTGTTCATGCCACTTTCTGAAGCAGCTCTAGCAATCTTCTTTCATACCCTGTGTCCTGAATTGATGTGATACGTTTACTTTGCATGGTCATTTTGATTTTTGCTACAGTGACAGATCCAGTGAATAAGGTAGATGAGAACATACACCATAGCATCTTTATTTCACAGAAGCTGCTCTAACAAGGTGATCAACTCAATGTGATCAACAAGTACGGTCCATGTTTAAATTTAAAGATTGATGACAGTAAAAGACTGCCATTAATTGCCCTCAAAATACTTAAAAGACTCTCCTTTGCTTTGAACTTATTTATCCAATCTTTCTTGGCAGTGTGTCTTTTATTGGTAGTAAGATTGTAAAAATTTAAATATGTACTGTATTTTTCAGTTTGTCCTTGTAAATCATAGTGTACTGGGAAGTAAATCCCTATGTTCAAGCAAGAGACAGAACACTGGACCCTCACCCCTCCACTCAGTCCCTTCCTGATTGACCCTGCTCCCTGAGAGGTGACCCTTCCTCCCTCTTCTGAACAGGTTCACTACCCGTGTTTGTCTGCTTTTCACTTTATACAAATGCAAGTTCTCTATTTGTATTTCTATGTCTTCTTTACTCAGGGTTGTTTACGAGATCCTGCATTAGTCAGCCAGGGCCGCTGTAACAAGCATTGCAGAGAACAGGGAAAGAGGAAATTACCAGAACCACTCCAGTGGGTCCTGGTCTCCTGTGAGCCACTACAGCACAAAAAGACAGGAAACCAGACTTAGAGAGGATGCTGTGTTCTGGGCCTGATCAATGCTTCTCTAGGCAGCAAAGACAAAGGCATCCTGAACCTGCCACTATTTACTGAGTTCATAGAGAATATCACATGACTCAGAGGGCAGCAATAATCCTAAATTGACAAGGCTCTTATAATTGGAGAAAGTATCATATGTCTCAGAGGGTGGCAGCAATCCTATGACCATGAGGATCTTATGCTGATGAGGATCTATTGTTGATTAGGATGGTAAGATGAGCAAAGATATTCTTACAACAGTAGGCGGGATGAGTTAAACTGATAAGAAATTCGTGTCCTTCCCCAGGTGAAAGCTTTCTTATACTTGGTTCTCAAAGAACCAGGATGTCTTCAACTGACGTAACCTTGCCCTTGAGTGTCACGGCATCACAGGACCATTGAGGTCTCAGCTGTGACTGGAGGCAAAAATGGAGTTATGTTTTGGCATGCCATAGCTGGCCCGCAGGCAAGACTAGGCCTAATCATAATTTAATTGTGAAATGATTTTTCCCCAAAATTATGTAGAATGGCTCCTGACAAAGCACCACCAATGGGTGCCTTCAACAACAGGGTTTATGTCCTCTGGGGTCAGGTCCTGGCAGGGCTGGCTCCTCCTGAGGTCTCTCTCCTTGGCCTGATGCCTCTTTCTCCTTGTCCTTATATGGTCATCCCTCTGATGTCCTCTTCCCATAGAGACCCACTCCTTTGGGTTAGAGCCCACCCTAGTCTCCTCATTTTGCCCTAATTACCTCTGTAACAACCCTGTCTCCAAACACAGCCAGGGACTGGGGTTAGGACTGTAGCATATGAATGTGGGGAGTGGGAGGAGCCAGTTCATCCCATAAAAGATAAGTTCATGAGTTTGGAATGGTGGTGGTTCATGTCATCATTGTTCAGAATCCAGCATGAGTGGCCCACTGCCTGCTCAGCCACTCCACTGCAGGGGACAGTGGTGTCCAGAGCGAGGCTATTAAGAAGCAGTTGCTCTGAGGCCTACCATGTGTGTGCCCTGGTACCTCCTTGCCTCTGTGAGATGCTAGGCCAGTACCCATCTGACAGATGAGAGACTGAGCCCGAGACAGGAAGTGATGTGTCTGAGGCCAACAGTGTCAGAGCCAGAGTGTCAACGGCCAATCACGGAGGAGGTTCAGAATCTGCACAAGCTGTGGACTGTGTGGACCTGGGCTGAACAGGGGCTCTTCCCAAGCCCTGTGTCCAAAGCTTTCATTCACCAGGAGGGGACCTGCTTCTTCTGAATGGAGAGGAGATGGTAGCAGTGACACTGGAGGAGAAAGGGGAGACAGAGTGACCAAAACACAAGTTGGGTTCCCTGCAGTGGGGCAGTGGACGGAGGCTCTCTGTGACCTAGGACAGTCACCAGAGCAGCAGGCAGGGGTGCAGAGTGTCCTCAAGGCCAGGACCAGGCTGGGCAGGGCGTGCCTGGGAAGCTGGGGTGCTCTGTGTAGAATTTCCTGAAAGGCACCAGCAGCTGCATTACATGTGATACAGCCCTCTGTGTCACATCCATATAGACACTTTATGTACAGTTAGGATATTGCCATTCCCACGTTCTTGGTAGAGCACCTCTGCCCAAGAAACAACTGGAGAATCACATTGCAAACACATTTCAAAGGGGAGAGACTAGAATAACAGGACCTCTCGTATCCAACCCTCAGCTTCAACAACTCTCAGAGGAGCCAGTGTGCTTTCTTCGGTGTGCCCACTCCGCCCCTATTCTTTGGAGTCAGTTATCATGCCATTTCACTCTGGGAATGACATCTGAACCACCGCTTGTTGCTAAGGTCCCCCTCGCAGGAAAAAGAGGAGCAAGATGGGGTTCTCTAAAAGGCCAGGATTTCTCCTGTCCTTGCCCACCCCAGGAAGGGGTCCAAGCTAGGAACTGGCCCAATAGAGCTGGGGTTGCAGACTGTCCAAGTAGTGTCACACACTCACGTGTGCTCCACCACACATGCATGCATGCATGCACACAGTGCTCTTTGCAGTTCCAAAACCACAGCCTGTGGATGCAAGACAGGCAAAGAAGCTGCCCCGGAAGCCCCAGTGGCCTCCATTTATTGGTGTCCATGCAGGGACCAACTGGTTTCCCAGGTCAAAGGCAGGTGGATCCTCCCATGTTAGGGAATCTGAATCTAGGAGAGTGAGGTGCTGCATGTCCTGAGCAGCCCAGGAGCATGGAGAAGGGGCCTAGGCTCTGCAAACCTGAAGCTGATGGGATTAGGAAGTGCAGGGATAGGACCTCAGAGGAGCCACGGCAAGGGAAGGCCCCACGCATGAGCAGCAGCCTGTGAAATGGGGAGAAAAGCTCTTGTCCCCACTACAGCAGCAGCAGGATGAGTACGCCCACAGGGCCCAAGGTCCTTAGAGACTTCGGACAGGGCTGTACCAAGCTGGGGCCTGATGGGAAAGTCTGGAGCATCGGGCTTCGGGCTAGGGTGTGGGGGCCAAAACAACTGAGAGGTGCACCGTCCCTCAGTATCCTTTTGCAGATAGGTAGAGAGATGCACACTGGCAACAGAAGAGAGAAGTGAGCGTGGTGGAGGTCCTGTGCTGAAGACAGGCCCGGAAAATCAAGCCTCAGAACGCCAAGAAAGAAGTGTCCAAGCCTGACCCCTGGCGGGGGATGGTGGTACTGCTCCTGGTAGGGGCACCCTTGGCCAGCTAACTTGGGGTGACCGCGGGATCCGTGTCCCCACCTCCCACGTAAGAGTTGAGGAGAGGAGGTGTCCATGCTACCCAGCGAGCCGGCCAGAGGCGTTTTATAAAAGCACCAAGGCTGTGGAAAGGAGTTGCTCAACTGGAAAGTCTTTCCCCTAAATTTCTCTTAACCCTTGGCATCTGCTACAACCTGAGTTTGGGAAAAACATAAACGTAGATGACAAAAGACACAGGGGTGTGTACAACAAGCAGCTGTATTTTTTTTTTTTTTTTTGGTACCGGGGGTCAAACTCTAGACCTTGTGCTTTCAAGGCAGGCACTGGAACCACTGAGCTAAATCCCCGGCCGTATAAGCAGCTGAATCTGCAGGCACCCCTAGGAAGTGGCTTGCTCTGCTCCCCATCACAGTGCTGGACACTGATCGCCATGGGGTGGGGTGGGGGGCACAATGTAAATAAAGCCCGAGGCGCCCAGTGAAGCCACACTACTTCATATTCCATGGCAAAGGGAGGCGAGGGACCAGGCATCCAGTAGGGCCCATGTGACTCCTGGGAGACTGTCCTACTTGCTCATGGTCCCCTGGCTGCCTCTGGGGGGCCTTAGGGCCAATGACAAGGGCAGTCAGGTGGAACCAAGAGGGGGCTCCCAGGAAAAGGGAACTTATGCTGGAAGTGGCAAAGATGGAGCACAGAATTTGGGGAACTCTGTTCCAGAGACCTGATTCCTCATGCCAGAGCCTGACATCTCCTGTGTGCATCTGTTACACTCTAGGGTCCTTTTCCCTGTCTGTGAAGGATGTCACTGCCCAGGGGGACATAGTCAAGCACTATAAGATCCGCTCCCTGGACGAAGGGGGCTACTACATCTCCCCCCGGACCACCTTCCCCTCCCTCCAGGCCCTCGTGCAGCACTATACCAGTAAGAGGGGTGTCTGGGGGCGGGGCTTAACCCCACATTAGGACTCACTTGGGGGGAGGGGACGGCAAAACCAGGCCTCTTAGGTTGGCAACTTTCAGCATGCTTCAAAGTCAGTGACCTGACCCCATCTCCTGGCTCATCCTGGAGCCACTGGACAAGATTTTCAGTCTTCAAGAGAGTAGGTCAGGGAGAGCAGGCCCTGTTCTGCAAAGTGAACAGATGGCCAGGCATGGTGGCTCCCAGCACTCGGGAGGCTGAAGCAGGAGCATCGTGGTGAGTCTGAGGTCAGCCTGGTCTATGTGGTGAGTTTAAGGTCTTTTGTAGTGAGTACTGTATATCAAGACTATGTCTCAAGAAAACCCCACAAACAAAACAAAATGAACAGAAAGTGCCACAAGTGTGCACACAAGCGCCAGGGCCAGGGTGTGAGGGGACGTAGCTGGGCACACTGTGGCTCCTGGCTGACAACTGGCTGCCCGGTACCCTCCAGCGCCTCTCTTCTTCCCCACCGCAGAGAAAGGGGACGGCTTGTGCCAGATGCTGACCCTGCCCTGTGCAAGCGTGGCCCCGCAGAACCCCTGGGCCCAGGACGAGTGGGAGATCCCCCGGCAGTCTCTCAAGCTGGTGCGCAAACTCGGGTCCGGGCAGTTCGGCGAGGTCTGGATGGGTGAGTGGCAGCTGAGGCACCACTACCCTTCAGTGTGACCGACACCCCTCCCGGTAAATCCTCCTTGGCCTGCGGGCCGGGATTTCCAGGAGGCTGAGACAGGCCTGCACCCTACCCAAGACGCTGTCCATCACCCGCAGGAGATGCACCCTCCAGCTCTGCTCCGAGCATCTGACGCTCCTCCCGCCTCTCCTCCTTGGGCAGGTTATTACAAAAACAACGTAAAGGTGGCCATCAAGACCCTGAAGGAGGGAGCCATGTCGCCCGAAGCCTTCCTGGGCGAGGCCAACCTGATGAAGACCCTGCAGCACGAGCGGCTGGTCCGTCTGTACGCCGTGGTGACCAAGGAGCCCATCTACATCGTCACAGAGTACATGGCCCGAGGTGGTGCCCCGCCCCACGCGCGCTTTTGGGGTCCAGGCTGGGGCGCAGGAGGGTGGACGCCGTCCCTGCCGGGGGTCTCCAGAGGACTGGAGTAGCACCGCACCGTGGGACAATGCTGGGGCTGGGGCTGGGGCTGGGGCTGGGGCTGGGAGCCCGGAGGGCAGAGTGGTTGCCATGGAGCTGGCTCTCAGCCCGCCCTTCCAGGGGTCGTGGTCTGCAGCCGGGACAGGCAGGGACAGAGCCGAGGGCTGGGCACAGAGGGTTCTAGTTCCGGTTCTGCCCCCTCCCTGCCACCGACCTTTTACATCTGGGTGAACACGCCCCAGCTCGGGGGCCAGAGGGCCCACGCACGGTGCATCCTCATGGGGAGCGGCTTGGCTCGGGCCTCAGGCTCTCTCTGCCCTCCTTCCCTCCCGCCTCCCATGTCCCTGTCACACACTGCTCCGTGGGCCTTCACGTGCCGTGACAGTATGAAAGCCCCAGAGGGCCGGGTGACAGACTGCCGCCGTGCTGCGCCTCCACGAGCAGCTCCCAGCGCTTGGTCCCCAGGATGCGGGGACCTGTGCCCGCTTGTGCCCTGATGGCTCCCTGCACCCAGCTGGACGTAACCTGTGGGGACCGAGGGCTGAGGTGGGAGTGCCGTGGGGTTCAAGGCGCCCAGCAGCTGCAGGAGGCTCCTGCCTGGTCACCAGAGAGACGGACGCCACTGGCTGTGCGGGGCGGAGTGCAGCCGCTTGGCTGAAGCACCGCGCCCTGTCTCTCCTAGGATGCCTGCTGGATTTCCTGAAGACGGAGGAAGGCAGCAGATTGTCCCTCCCTAGACTGATCGACATGTCGGCCCAGGTTGGTGACGGGAGCCCCGGGTCAGGAGGGATGGTCCTCCTCTGAGCCCGCAGCTGGAGCGCATCCTGGGAGAGATCGCCCCGCTCACTTGGGCTGCACGGGGAAGACCAGAAGGCTCTAGTGTGCACACAGACGGAGGAGGGAAGGCAAAAGCGCTCTGGTGGGACCTGTCTCTCCCTTAGACAAACGCCTTCCGTGGGAGGGGGCTCGGGACGCACTGCTCCTGTCCCAGGTGCCCGGGACATCGAGGCCCTGAGGACCCCAGGCCCCAGGAGCCCTCAGTCCCGGTGCAGCCCCAGGACAGGCCTAGCCTCAGAGCAGGCATCTCCTCCGAGCCCCAGAACCCCCACTCTGCCATCCCTGGGGGTCCCCTGAAGTGCTCTGCAGACCCAGTGAGGGGGCAGCAGCTGACCGAGGGTCTTTCCCCCGGGAATGTCAGCTCGGGGCTCACCCGCAGGAAGGCACAGCTAGCTGGCGGCCTGTGTGTCTGTTACAACTGCAGCCCTCAGCAAGGAGGCCACGGTCTGTGGCCAGCATGTGAGACACACACACACACACACGCACACGCACACGCACACCACCCCGCAGCCCCCGCCCTGCCCTGTGCTATCTGCCCAGAGTATCAGTGCGGGAAGTGAGGTCACCGCGCCTTTTCCGCTGAGCTGGGCAGAGACGCCTTAGGCAGCGGGTGAGATGCTTGAGGAAAACACTGGTAACCGGTTTCCACCCCACGACAGTGATAAGCCTGTCGCCTGTCCTCTCCCTTCTTCCTTTCCCTCTCTCACCCTCCCCTGTCTCTTTCAATCCCACTGCAACCCTGGGAAAGCCCGGGTCACTGGGGACAAAGGCTGAAAAGCACTCTGAGTACAGGAGCTAGGTGTGGTCAGGGGCTGACTGGGGGAAGGACACCGGGAAGCAGAACCTCGCAGACAGACAGCTTCTGAGCCCGCTTCGGGCCACACTGCCGCCTCACCTGCGCGTGCGCGCTCACGGCATTGCACGCACACGGGGCCCTGGGCGCTCCCCTTCCCGCTCCACGGGACAAAGCACGAAGTCCCCAGGTCGCTTTGTGCCCGGTGCCCCGCCACACTGTTCCCTTCTGCCCCGAGTGCCCGAGTCCCAGAGGCAGGTCCCCAGGCAGCGAGGAGTCACCAGTCACTCCTGCTAAGGTCTCCCCAGGTGAAGGAGGAGGTCACCTCTCTTCCCCTGCCTCGGTTTCTTCCCCGTCAGTGGGTGAACAGCCCGTTAGCGGCCTCGGCTGAAAAGCAGGAGTGGGGGACAGGCAGGCCTGTGCCTCTGACAAAGCCGTCTCCCCACCTGGGCCTCCGGGCCGGCCCAGCTGATGCCCCCCGCCCAACCCGAGCCCCCTCCTGGGCAGCAGCACGCCCTCCACGCACCCACCGTCGAACAAACCCCAAACGCCGCCCGGGAGGCAGGCGAGGGGCAGACCTTCTCAGCCCAGGCCGTGCACGGATGGGCCTGGCTCCACCGTCCTTCCCGGTGCATCCCGTCCGCAGATCGCCGAAGGGATGGCGTACATCGAGCACATGAATTCCATCCACCGCGACCTGAGGGCCGCCAACATCCTGGTGTCTGAGGCCTTGTGCTGCAAGATCGCCGACTTCGGCTTGGCCCGCATCGTGGACAGCGAATACACGGCCCAGGAGGGTGAGCAGAGCCCGGCCACTTCCCAGCTCCCGGGGCCTCGAGCTTCCCCTTGGCTGTGTCGGAAGGCCCGGGATCCCATCAGCCTTTCCTGGCTGGGCCACACCCCTCGCTTCCCTCTGAGGGCTGGCACACCAGAGGTGCCGGGGTGTTCCAGGGGAGCAGCCCCGACAGGAGGCTGAGCCCCTCGCCCGCCCGCCCTGACCTTGGGGCCTGCAGCCGGGTCAGCCCCGGAAAGGCTCGGAGAAGCCCTGTAGCGATGCTTGCGTTTCCATTTGTTTCTCCTGGCGTCTCTCAGGCTGATCTGAGTCCACATGCTTTTGCCTCTTAGCTCCTTTTAACTCCCACTGGAGTCGGGCTCCACGGAACCCACTTTAGAAATGAGGCTCTAAAGCATGAGCAACAACCCTCCTACGTGACACAGGGTCCAATACAAGCAGCACTGATACAACCGAAGGAAAACCCACTTCGCCAGAGGGTGCGAATGCATTTAGCAAAGAAGCCGAGTCACCAAGGTGTACTCAGCCCCAGCGCAGTGGGGAGTGGCCCGAGTCCCCTCTGCTGCAGACCCTGGGCCTGCATGACTCAGGCCTGCGTCCCCACAGAGGCCTCTCTGCCATGCCTGACCCCGCCCGGCCCGGGGTGGGGCCGGGAGCGTGCGGGGGGGGGGGGGCGGCAGCTGGGCACGGCCTCAGGGAGCTCGGGGACCTTCCCACAGGGGCCAAGTTCCCCATCAAGTGGACCGCGCCGGAGGCCATCCACTTCGGGGTGTTCACCATCAAAGCGGATGTGTGGTCCTTTGGCGTCCTCCTGATGGAAATCGTCACCTACGGCCGTGTGCCCTACCCAGGTAGGCGGCTGCCTGGGGAGGGGGCACAATGTCCTGTGTCTCATCTGCAGAGAGGCGCTGCCCCTCCGGAGGAAACCCACGGCCTCATGTTCAGCTCCTCTCCCTAAATAAAAAGTAAATGAGCCAGGCACGGTGGCGCAGGCCTATAACCCTAGCACTCTGGGAGGCTGAGGCTGGAGGGTCCCAAGTTCGATTCCAGCTACTTACCCTGGGCAGTTTTAGACCCAGCTTCAAAATAAAAATGTAAAAGGCAGGACCGGTACAGAGCTCATGCCAAGGCCAGGCAGGTGAACCCTTGGTCTGAGCCGCCCGCCCCACACCTGTCCCGACCTCCACAGGCATGAGCAACCCCGAGGTCATCCGCAGCCTGGAGCGGGGCTACCGCATGCCGCGCCCCGACTCGTGCCCGCCCGCGCTGTACCGCGACGTGATCGCCGAGTGCTGGCGAGCGCGCCCGGAGGAGCGGCCCACCTTCGAGTTCCTGCAGTCGGTGCTGGAGGACTTCTACACGGCCACCGAGGCCCAGTATGAGCTGCAGCCCTAGCGTCCCGGCTCGGGAGCTCAGGGTGACCGGGCAGAGGCGACCGCGGGGCGGCGCCCGTCTCCGGACAAATCCGTGCGCCCCCCCCCCCCCGCGAATTCCTGCGCGGCTCTGCTAGGCTCCGAGTGAGGACTTAGCCCAGCCCTCGCCGTCCACGGCGTCCACGTGTGCCCGGCAGTAGGTGACTGCCATCGTGTAAGGCTCGGCCCGGGCACCGCGCGGGGTCCCTGTGCCCCAGAACCGGGTCCGGGTCTGGGTCCGGGTCCCCCAGGCGGCTGCTGGGCGGGAGCGGCCCCAGCGCCTTGGGCCCCCTCCGCAGTAAAGCTGCTGGTGGGTGACACGCCCGAACGCCGCACTGGACTCGCGCAGATTGGGGGGCGGGGGTCACAGGGCCCGGGAGGCAGCGGACCCCCCACCCCGCTAATACGCGCCTGCTTCGCTGCCCCTTGCGGCCGGAAGGCGGCGCCCTCGCCCCACCAATCCTGGGCTCCTGGGGAGCACAGAACCAGGGTGGGAGCCGGCGCCTGGGGGCCTCGCCAGGAGGGGACCCCTCCCAGGCTCCGACACCCCGGGCCCACGCATGAACCCCGAGTGGGCCGGGATGGGGACACAGGAGGGGAGGCAGGAAGGCGGGTTCTGTTCTCCCTCCCTCTCCTCCCCCTGCCCCTCCCTCGCCTTCCCTCTTTTTCTGCTCTTCCTTCTTTTTGAGCAGTTGAGGTTTTCAGAAAGATAAACGCCAAGTACACAGCGTCCCCAAATGCCCCCAGTCTCCCAGTTTCCCCTGTTCTCAACCGTCTTCGGCTGGTGCGCCTCTTCGATGGACTCCCGGCGTTGCTTCGTTGTTTACCAAAGCCGGGTCACCCTGGGGCCCCTGTGCAGGCCCCTGTGGGCGTTAGCCACGACCGTGTTACGCAGGATAATCGCACTGCCCGACTCCGTCTCCTCACCCCCTTACCCCCTTGACTTCTTGGCACCCACTTCTCATGCTTTGATCGCTCTGCGTTAGCTGTGATGACCCACAAGGCAGGATTAATGGCACCATCTGCACAGAGGGAGAAACTGAGGCACGGAGGGCCGTCACACACTACGCATGAGTAGTGGGGGGGGCAGATCGGGCGCTGCGGGGCTGTGGAGTGGGCTGAGGTCACCCTGCAGGGCTCAGGAATCCAGAAGGCCGGAAGAAGGGATCCCAGAGGGAGCTGCCTCGCTGGGGCCCAGGGCTGAGGAGGCCTGGCTCATGCGAACTGAACAGATGGGGACCCCAGAGAGTCCCTCCTCCTGCCAGTAGGGGGCACAGGACAGAGAAGGATCCAGCCCTAGGGCTCCATGGGAAGAGCAGCTGCCCTGACACAGCCTGGGAGCACCCAGGGGTCCTTGGGGGGGGAGGGGCAGAGGACCCTCTGAAGTGGCTTCCTATGCTGTCCCTCAGGCAGAGCCGCGCCCACCCCCATTGCTCAGCCCTGCCTGCACTGGAGAAGCACACGGAGGTAGCAGTAGGGGACACAGGCCAGTGGGGGGTGCATTAAAAATACCCGTGGACCTGGGCACCCCGTGTTACAGCCCCCTCCTGCGCTGATGCCCACCCAGGGCGGAGGGCTGCTGGGCCAGGCAGAGCAAGGCTGGTGATGCCCCTTCAACAGCGCTGGCTGCCAGCACCTAGGGGTGCCTGATGCCCAGGTCCCGGCACCGCAGGCCCAGCTGGTGCTGCTCCCAGCTTCAATGTGCAAGTGGTACCTGCGGAACCCGGAGAAGGAGCCCCGAGACCAGCAAGCCCCTTCCCCTCCTCCTCTTCCTCTTCCCCGGAATGGAAGGGGACCGCGGCGACTTTCCCCCACAGGCGCTGCGCTTGTCCCCATGGGCCCGAAGTGAATACGTTCCCTGGGGTGTGCTCCTGTTCCACACATCAGTAAATTTATCCAGGACAAAGGGCCTTCCGAATCCCAGGCAGAGGGTGAATTGTGAGGATGGGGAGGGGTCACTTCCGCCCGGCACTGTGTCTTGCTAGCAGAGGGAAGATCACCCACGTGGCTGTCCTGAGCATGCTCCCAGCCTGGACCTGCACCGGTCACAGCACTGCTGTCCCGACCAGAGCTCTGGCGAGGACAGCTGGAGCCTGGGGACACCAAGCTGTCCTTCCTGGAATGGAGGCTGTGCCCACCCTGTCCCTTCCTGGACCCAGGGAACATCTGTCATATGAATAACGGCAGGGCCTTAGCTCATACGGTCCTGGGTTCAAACCCAAAGTCCAGGCACTTCCTGTCCCAGGACGTGTGACTGCGGACATCACTAGACTCTGCTGAGCCTCATTTCCTCATCTGTAGAGCAGGCACAGTCATGGCGCACACACAGACACACACACCCTGAATAGCTCCTCGCCAGGCTGCAAGTGACAGCACACAAGCCTAGGGCCTGCCACGGGTACCTGGAGAAATCGGCTCTTCCTGGTGGTATTGTAGCCTCCAAAGCAAGGCTTGCCCTGGGCTCTGCATCCTCTGTGATCCCCGTCTCAGGTGCCAGCCTCTGTCTGACACTCTCCCCTTTGCTGCACTCTCCACCCTTGGGCGGGACTTCGCAGGCGCACACAGGGCTGGACTCGAGGGCCTGGGTCGGCCCGGCGTGTACCAGCCACATCACTGTGGGTAGCTCAGTTCCATGTTCCCTGGTCTCCTGGTCTGTGCACATTGGGAAGCAATGTCCCCCACAGGGTGTGTCCGGGACGGGGAGAGAACTTAGGAAATGTCCCCCCAAAGTCCCAAATGTGTCAGTGTATCAGTGTACAGCAGGGCCTCAGTTTGCCAGACTCCTGTGGCTTCAACAGCTGACCTTTATTTCCTCACAGTTCTGAAGACGAAGTCCGAGGTCAAGGTGAAGCAGGGCTGGCACTGTCTAAGGCCTCTCTCTTTGCCTCCCTCCCCAGCCCTGACAACCATCATTCCACTTTCTGTCCTGTGATCAGAGTGTCTAAATGCCTCACTTCTGTAGACTTGCATAGCTCTTGTCTCATGAACTGGCTTGTCTTACTTAACATCCTATGCTCTTCATGCATCCGGGTATCAGAAACCTATCTCTTTTTTAGGCTCTATAACATTCCGCTTTCTGGGTTTTATTGTCAGCTTTCATTGCTGTGATAAAATACTTGACATACTCAACTTAAAGGAGAGGTTTCTTTGGCTCACAATTTCAGGGGATTCAGTCCATGGTTTCCTGGCTCCAAGGCAGAAACATCATGGCAGAAGAGTGTGGCAGAGGAAAGCTACTCACCTCAGGGTAGCCAGGAAGCAGAGAGAGCAACAAGAGCCAGAGAGAGGAAGGGTCCAGAGCCAAGGATATGTCCTTCCAGGTTATACACAGGGGACGACTTCCTCCAACTGGCCTGCCTCCTAATAACACGCTCAGCTGTGAATCCATTAATGGATTCATCCCATGATCCAATCACCTTCACCAGAGCCCTACCTCTTGACACTTTTGGGAGATATTTTTGACCCAAACCATAATGATAAACTACATTTTGTTTTCCACTCCTCTGTCGACAGACATCTATGTGGCTTCCAGCTGCTGGCCTTTGTGAATAATGCTGGCGTGAGCCCATGTGTGCAGATACCTCCTTCAGACCCATGGCTGGGCCAAAGGGCAGTTTGTTTAATTTTCGAGGGGCTGTCATTACTGCTGTCTACCGCATCGCCATCGTTTTACGTTCCCACCAGCAGTGACAAGGGTTCCAATGTCCCCACTCCCTGGAGGCGGGGCTTTGTGGGCTGGGCCTCCCAGATGTCCCCAAGTGTGTCCACATCCTGGGGGACATGTGCTCAGGCCCCCACTCAAAGTGTCCCAATGTCACCCAGCATCGCAGGCGTCACAGCCAGGAGCACATCTGGTTCTGGGCCCTCGATCTCAAGGTGACAAGGGCGTAGGGAAGAAGGAGGCCAGGGAGTGGGAGGGGCCCCGGGCCTCTGGTGGGCCCTGCCCAGCTGAGCATGGATGACACTGATAGCACAGAGTTGCTTGTACCAAGTGCAGAGCTTTCTAACCAGCCACCATTACTGAGTATAAAGTGGGGGCGACTTTGCACAGCCCTAGGGCCAGGTCGGCTGATCCTAGCCGTACAGATGAGAACGTGGCCCAGAGAGGGTAAGCCACTGGCCCTGGGCCACACACTGGGGAGCTGGGGCCTTGGAGAAAGACTCTGGTGGAGATGATTCCCTGTGCTCCTCAAGCCTGGAGAGCCTGCAATGGAGGCCCGGGTGTGGGGAGCCTGAGTGGGAGGCAGGAGAGAGAAAGGGCCGCCCACCCCTGCCTCGAGTGCGGCCCTCCTCCGGCCCCGTTTTGCTGGCTGGCTGACCTAGGTTATTAGAACAGTAGGGCCTCAATTTTTTTTTTTTTTGAAAACCAGTCCCCAAGTCCACCATCTGCATCGTCCTGTGCTTCTCACAAATGAGAAACTGAGGCCCAGATAAGGATTTGCCCAAGGACCAAGAAGAGCAGTGGGAATGGCCACTTGGCCCTGCCCTGGCCTCAGGACCCTGGCCAGGCCTCCTGTGTCCCCATCCCCTGCCAGAAGCAGATGACAGATGACAGCTTCCTCTGGAGTTTGGGGAATAGAAATCTGTGCACTTGAGGGCCCTTCCGTCAGACGCAGCACTTCATGGAAGATGCCAGTCCTTCACCAGCGGGCAGCTCCTCATTCCTGGGGACAGCACAGCATCTGTAAAGCAGTTCCTCCCCGCAGCAGGGCAGCACCTGGACACAGCAGTCTTCAGTGTACAGGGACTCCAGGTCCCGCTTTCCAAGGGCACCCTTCACCTCCTGGGGTGTGGTGCCCTTTTCCATCCTGGGCCTTGGGAAGGTGGGCTGGGCCTTCAGCTCCCCGGCAGCATCCCCAGGATGGGGGTCCCAGGCCACAGACCCCACGCTCCACACTCACACTGGGGGACCCTGGAGAGGATGCTGAGACCATGAGAGCTTTCAAGAAGTTGAGGAGCAAGGGGGCCTGACACACAGACCCGTCACGGGCCCAGGGGACAGTCCCTCCTGGCACAAGGCGGGGCACACTGCAGAAAGGATGCCAAGAGGGTGCACAGAAGCCTGGCAGATGAGGAGCAGCGAGAAGCACCTGGTGCTGACGGGGCCACCGGCCCAAGGGACTGTCACGCTGGATGTGGCCACAGCATCCCTGGAGACATGCGGTGGCCGGCGGCCCTGTGCATGAGCTCAGCTCTCTGTGATGACTCACTGACTGAGAGCTCCGCCTGACATCACCCAGGGCCCAAGAATAGCCCTCAGGCCAGGGCAAGGCAGAATCGGGCTCCAGGTGCATGGCAGTGTCCAGCTCACACACGAGACTTCGTGACTTCTCAGCCCCAGCCGGACCCTGAAGAGATTCACCCACAAAGAAGGGCGTCCCCCCCTTCTGGGGGCCCCCATGACTTGTGCACTGGGGTCCCTGTGTGCACAGACAGGCCCAGAGCGAACCCCGGCTGACAGCCTGCCCGATGTTCCTGTGCCTCACTCGTGCTCCCTGCGCTGCTTCTGTTCTGGGCCCTCGAGGTGCAGCTGTCTGCCGAGCTCTGTGGCTCCATCCCCACCCCTGTACCCCCACACTCCCGAAAGGGATGGAGCAGGGCTCTGAGGCTGCAGATCCCACAGGGGCTGCAGCGGGACTGGGCTGGCCCAAGACCCCTGGAGCCTCGGCCCCCTGCAGGAGGTGCTGGAAAGGGTTCACCTCCCCTCCCCACTCTGCGCCGGATTGGCTGTGGGGGTCCTGGAAAATCACTGACCTTCTCTGACCCTAGTGTGGCCATCACTAAATGGACACCATCACGATCACCTTGGAGGGACGATGGGCCCAACACAGCCGGGCACAGAAAACTCCGGCCCCGCCTCACGCACACAGTAGGACGTCAGCGCATGCACACAGCCTCCTTCCCCCGACTGGCTCAGAAGCCAAAGCCCAGGCCAGACTCCCCCTTCCCTGGGTCCCCTTTCCCAGCCACCCCATCTGCCCTGTTTCTACCTCTTGGCCCTTGGACCACCGGACCCCTTGCCACGGCCAGCGGAGGCTGACAGGCTGACGGGAGCCAGGCCCCGGGCGTGGCAGATGGCGGAGGACCGATGAGGTGCTGGGGCGGGGGGGGGGGGAATGCAGCAGGGGCTGGGAGGCAGGGAGACAGGAGGGCGCGGGCGCTTGCTAATCTCAGCCCAGTGCCTTCTGGAAGGGCCAGGGCACCATCTAGGGGCATCTCTGGCGAAGCCTCCCCTGCTGGTACCAAGGTCACTCTGCTGCTCGTGGCTAAAATTAGCCTTGCGCTCATGGCCCTGGACTGCAGTGGCCTTTTCCCATGAACCCCTGGGACCTGGCCCTGCGCAGACACCGTGAGCTGCCTGCCCTCTCTCTCCAGAGAGCAAATAGGACTCCAGCCACTGTTCTGCAGGCAGAGGAGGGTGGGCATGTGTGTGGGTGGGTGTGTGCACAGGCAGGCGTGATTAACCAAGAAGGGTGTCCAGGGTTCCCATCGCCTTCCATCTTCCAGCCCCGCCTTCCATCTTCCAGCCCCGGCATCAAGTACTGGGCTCAGCAGCACCCACCCACCACACCCCTCCTGAGGTTAAGAAAAATAGCCAGACTGGTGGCACACGCCTGTAATCCAGCACTCTGGGAGGCTGAGGCAGGAGGACTGCAAGTTTGAGCAATTTGGCACCTTAACAAGACCTTGTCTCAAAATAAAATTAAAAAGGGCAGGGATGTAGCTTGCTGTGAAAGCCCTGGGTTCAATCCCTAGCACTGAAAACAACAACGACAAAACCATGGGTATCAAGTGAGTGAGCCAACCAGGAAGCAAAATGCGCACCAGTCTGAACCGGCTGTCCCTTCTGCTGAGCCGCGGTCCTAATCCCTCCATGTTGCCCGCACCTGGCGCAGGACCTGGTCCCTACAACGTGCTCCATGGCTGTGTGGAAACCTGGGTCAGCAGTCTGTGTGTGGTCCACATCCCAGGGAGAACAGCACCATCAGCCCGGTCACCTGCTAAAGCAGGGCTCACAAGGATGGTTCGAGCCCCGGCACAGCTGTGGGCCTGAGAGGAAGAGGAGCTCAGGGGCCAGGATTTGGGCAGGCAGAGCAGCCTTGGGTCCGGCTCAGCACTGGGTTGCACGAGGCACTCAGTGCCCAGAGCCCACTTCCCACCAGCCAGCAGGTTCATGAACCAGAGCCCCGGATTGACAAGACAGCGGCTCAAGCCCTGAGCAGAGGACCTGGCACACACAGGCCTCCTGGGTCTGGGGGGTTAAACGTCCTGAAGCCGAGGATGCTGTCTCTGCCAATCCTGCAGGGTGAAGGCTCATGCAGGACATATGATCAAAGCTAAAGCGAGTGTCAGACTGGAAGACAATATTTGCAGTGCCTGTATAACAAAGGATTACTGCAAAGAAAACCGAGGCAGCACTTCCTGTTCCTCAGCAGCTGAAGACAGATGGACAGATGATAAGTAAGAACACGCACTGCTGGGCAGCACTGCAGACCACCAGCCGGTGCGGCCAGGGCCTGTGGTCCCCCCAGTGCACAGGAAATGCAAGCTTAATCTGGATGCGTGGTTTTTAGCCATCAGACTGCAAGTGGCAGTAACGCCAGTATTCAACGGCAGGAAAACAGTCCTTGTGTGACCAAGGCCTTTGGAGAAGCACTCAGGCAGTGCCACCCCGACCCTGGGCACCCACACAGGGTTGGAGCTGTGGCTTTGCTTGCAAATCACCCAACAGCAAAATAGGCCTTCGTCCCCGACCCTGAGCGCGCAACACCTTCCTGCAGCAGGTTTACTGTTCCGGAGGAAACAATTTAATGTGAACGCTGGGGAGGAAATTAGGGAGGAAACCAGCGCCTGTGTTTCTATGAACTTGATTCTAACTTTAAACCAATGGCTTTTCAGCTCCGAGGGATTGGAGACATGACCAGGACTCAGAGGGGGGCTGTGCAGGAAAACACGTCCAGTGTGACCTTACACACACACACACAATGCTATGCTGGTCACACACACCCTTGTGCATATGTAAATATGCCGCTAAGGGACCCCAGGGGTACCCACCAAGGAGAGGCCCTTGACCCTGGGTGGGGCGGTGGGCTGACAGCAGAGGACAACAAAGGAGGGTGCCGGAGTCC